TTCGGTCTAAAAACGACTCTTTTATTAGTACTAAAACAGAGTCGGGCCTGCGCCCGTTTTTGGGGTCGTGTGGGTCGTTTTCAGACTCTAAAACAGGGTCGTTTGTTCTATGCGGGTGAGTTCTTTTAACAAACTCAAATTTTCTCATCCCTATATCTTTCAAATCTGATAGTGTAAGCTTTTAATATTACAAACTTAGGCTATTTTGAAATATCAAAGGTCTACGAAAGCGTATTGCCACCAAGATATAGGGATTTAAAATTCAGCGTGTATGGCAAGAACTCAAAACGTTCACTTTTTATTAAAGATAAGTTCATATAGTATGCAATGTCAATGTTCTTTGCCATCAGTTTGCAAAGATATAAGTATTAGGAAATTAGAGTTTGAGACAGGTAATCAGATATGATTTTGATATTTTTTTTTAATAATTTGGAATTCCAATTAACCAATTAAATTATCAGTTACTGGACCTTTTTTATTTTTCAATATTTAATTGGAGTTTATCCAGAGAAAAATGTTTTATTAAAAGTACAAAAAAAGGTTCGTTTAATTTTTTATCGTGAAAGTTAAAGTATAATTTATAGCAAAATAACATATCTAAACCACTGTGCAATATTCTATCCAAATCACTGTAAATGTATCACTGTGCAATTTCATAAATGTATGCACGCACCACTGTGCAAATTTGTGAGCTAACCTAACTACGTAAAATATTCTTTAAATAATGTGCAATATTGTAAATTGAGAATCTCATAAAATATGTGTATAAATGACTTTTGAATTGAAAATAACTTGTAATATTAAAATAAATGATAAAATCTGAGATGCCACAATGATATTTGTAGGACACAGACAGGACACAGTTATTATAAAGACAGGAAACAGACAGGACACAGACAGGACACAGACAGGACACAGACAGGACACAGACAGGACACAGACAGGACACAGACAGGACACAGTCAGGACACAGATAGGACACAGACAAGACACAGACAGAACACAGCTAGGACACAGCTTGGACACAGTTAGAATAAAGACAGGAAACAGACAGGACACAGACAGGACACTGCTAGGACACAACTAGGACACAAATAGAATAAAGACAAGAAACAGACAGAACACAGTTATAATGAAGACGAAGGGAGAAGAACACAGACAGGACACAGTTATAATAAAGACAGGACACAGCTATGACCCAGTTAGAATAAAGACAGGAGACATCTATGACACAGTTAGAATAAATAAACGACACAGTTAGAATAAAGACAGGACACAGCTATGACACAGTTAGAACAAAGAATGGACACAGCTAAGACACAGTTAGAACACAGACAGGACAAAATTAGGACATAAACGGGAAAGAGTTAGGACAAAAAAACACAACAACGATACAACACAGATAGGACACATAAAGGAGGCATAAAGGGCACAATAAGTCACATATTTGTGTACGAGATGTTTTTATCTAAAATTTCATGGGTTATGTCAAAAGTGATAAAATACAGACATAATTCTTAATAAGATAAATATATATAAATCCATAATTTACAAATGCCCACATTGAATATCAAGATTCTAAAACTCAATATTAACAATACTCCATACAGAAGTTTCGACCGAAGTTCCTTTCCGTAGTGTTCATGATAAACGTCTCAAGATTTTTAAAAGGGACTGTAAGCGTAATTTCAAGTGACCCTCCATTAAAAAAATGGCAGCGCCCGATTTACAATGGCACCATTAAGAGCATTCTCTGATAATTCATGATTTAATACCAATATTTGCTTTGTCTATTTAACTGTTATATTTTGTATATTTAACTGTTATATTTTGTATTCAAAAGTGATTTTATAAATTATCATTTCAAGAATACCATTGTATATTTATAAAAAGAGTATGGTTATTTTTGCACGGTGGATCTCTTAAAAATACGCTTACAGTCCTTTTAATGGAAAACGTTAATCAAGGAAACAGTTTTTATTTTTTTATTTTTATTTTAATGTTTAGAATATTAATTATAAAGGGTGTTAGAAAATAAAAAACACTTCACACAAACAGACGACAAAACATTATTTAATCCCTGAATTCAGAACTTTTGAATTGTGAATCTGAAGATTCCACTTCGATCTCGTAATGGTCATGTTCTGCAAGGATAACTTTAATGATAAAGTTGATCCTTAAATTTAAAAGTGTCCTGATTGGAGATCAAGATCAAACGTTCAAGATTATCAAAATTCAAACAAAAACTCCGAACTCAGTTTTAATTATTCTAAAAGGAATTGTTGTTATTTTATGCGACCTTTTATTTAAGATATTACAAATATAAATTTGTTCATTTGAAACTTTTTAACTTTTTCTGGGAAAAATTCTGGATAAATCCTTGTGTTTGATACAGTTAAATCCTAAATAAGCCATGCATCGAAAGAACTCATCAAATGTCGTATTCTTCACTTTCTGATAATGGAATGTTGCAGATATTTAGTTTTTTAATTAAATGATTATATGGAATTCTTTAAAACTGTTCCCGCATATTCATGGATATTTATTTATTTTCGCAAATACTGAGATTTACGTAAAATAGTATAAAACCCGTTGAAAAATTGTCAAGACGACATTTGAACAATTCTTTCGATGTATGGCTTATTTAAGGTTTAATTGTATTTCTTGAATTGATAATTTTGCGGTTTTACTATAAATGTTAAAACAAGAATTTTTTGGCAGAGACACTTCAGTCTCGATCTTGGCAAGCATCTAACCTTTTGAATAAAGGGTTATATGAAATGAATAATTAAATAATTTTGGGTCTTTTTCTAAAATATTTTAAATTTAAGAATTTCAGATAAATAAGCATTCATCATTTTTATAATTTAAAACCAAAGAAAAAGTGGAAGTATTGTCGTCTTTCTATCTTATGGAACAAAACAGATTACATGTTGAATATTAGCGATTTTTTGTTGAATTCAAGCAATTTCTTGTTGAATAAAAAGCGATTATGTGTTGGAAATAAGCGATTTTTCTTTTCTTAAAATTTTAAATATTTTAATATAATTGAAATATATGTTTTAGTGCGGAAAATATAGTCCCCGGGTGTCTCATCTAAAAAGGTCATACAGTATTAATATAATTTAATATAATTTTTTTTTTGTTAAAACAAGTGATTAATTATCTCTTCATGAAATGTTGATGCTTTTATTTGGGAACTATATCCAAGTTAGGTTCCAAATGTGGTACCTGTCCGTTCAACTTGAGAACTGAGTAATCTATTCCCTCAACAAATATCATCAACTTTGTAGCATTCTTTTTTAAACTGTTTTCAAGTTTTTCTACCATTTCCTAGAAAAGTGTTAATTTGCTCTTGTTTCGACAATCAATCATTTTATGGATAAATTTTTATTACTTAGTCGAAACTGTATCCAACTTTTTCCATCATTTCGCAGAGAAGTAAATTTTGCCACTCCTGTATCATGTATGCCGAGTCCATTAGCGCCTGATCCAATCAGGGTTCAGCCATGTGTTTGTTGTCTATTCTGAACCAATAGAATTTGCATGACGGTAACATCTATCTTTCTATCTATCTCATTATCCAATTAGAGATATTAATCCTTCAAACGACGCTATCAGTAAATGGAAATATTTACTTCTACTGAACATATGGTGTTGCTTAAACTGTGATCAACTAATCTAATCATTTTTGTTGAAATACCAGGTGTTGCCTGTAAAAATTTCAAAATAATATTAAACATTGTCACCACTGGGTAACCACGGGTTTCCTTAAAAAAGTTTAAGCCAGCTTAACTAACATATGTATTTTATCACATGTAAAAGAGCAAAGAGCTTTATTTAAAGGGATAGACCGGCTATGTAAGAAAGTTGAACTGAGTATGCAGTTCAACTTCCTTTGAGACATGCCTTGCGGATAGAAAAGGAAAGGCTAGAGGCAGAGTGCTGCGGCTAGAACATAATAAGCAATTGTTTCCAAATTTGGGAATTTGGTACTTGGGAATATACCTTTGGGACATTGCTATTTGGGAAAACGCCTTTGGGGAAAAAACTGTCCAACATCGTAAAAATAGAATTCAAACATATATTATTAAAAAAACGTAATTTCGTCCAATTTAATATCGGGAAAATACAGATATCCTGGAAGACGACATTTAAAAAGAGAACAACGACATTTTGGAGGTTAAGGGGATGGTGGCCTTCTTGTTTCTTTTAGGTTTGTTTAGTTTAGAAGTGTACAGTGTACACTCCACTACACTATAGATTTGCTTTTCTTCAATCCACAGGGGTTTCATTTAAAGGGACTGTAGAAGTAATTTCAAGTGACCTTCCTTTTATAGAGTGGCATGTCGGTTACACAAAGGTACCCTTTCTATATTCTTCTTCATTCTTGCTGTAATTTATGTAATTTTTCATGATTCTTCTTGATATTTCTCTATTGTCTCTTTACACTTCTTGACATATCTTTATTTTATTGTTACACTTCCTGACCTTTCTTGAATCTCTGTTTACAGTTTACACTTCCTGACATTTCTTTATTATCTCTTTACACTTCATAATATCTCTAAATTGTCTCTTTACACTTCCTGACATTTCTTTATTCTCTCTTTACACTTCATGACATTTCTATATTCTCTCTTTACACTTCCTGACATTTCTTTATTCTCTCTTTACACTTCCTGATATTTCTATATTCACTCTTTACACTTCCTGACATTTCTTTATTATCTCTTTACACTTACTGACATTTCTATATTCTCTCTTTACACTTCCTGACATTTCTATATTCTCTTTTTACACTTCCTGGCTTTTCTTGATTTTCTCTTAACACTTCCTGAAATTTCTATATTCTCTGTTTACACTTCCTGACATTTCTTTATTCTCTCTTTACACTTCATGACATTCTTTTTTTACACTTTCTAAACGTTTATTATTTCTTTTCAAAATGCCAATGTCAAATGTCAAAATGCAATGATTAAAAAATATATTCTTTATTATTCTAAGACAGAGAGAATGATCGGAGAGAGATGTTTAATGTCTGAGGTTTCCAGACAACAGTAAAAATATAAAAATAGTTTTGAATGACTTGGTGGTAAGTTTTAAATTAAGAGGGAGGGGTGGGGAGTAATGAACAAAAGATATTTTTTCTTCTAGATTATTTCACCCTGTCCCCTTGGAACTTGGAGGAGTGGAACCATATAGTGACCAAATACTAAATTCTTAGCTTGAAAGCTGAATACAAGTTATACAGAAATTACAGATCGAGTGTATATATCATCATGAAGTTTGACTTCTGTTTAAAAGTTTTGAAGGAAAAAAATAATTTCTGATACAATTACACAAACAATCTTTAGTTGCAATTTGTAAATTTTAATTCACCCCTGTTTGGAATAGAACTGCAGAGTTAATCCTCTAGTTCTGTTCTGCTCAAACAGTGAGGCCTGCTGGTGGATATGGTAAATATAGTAGAGATGGGCAACTTTGCTAAGTTTTTACAAAAAAGTAGGGATGGGCAAATTTTCTAATTTTCACAAAAAAGTATGGATGGGTAAATTTGCTAATTTTCACAAAAAAGTTTGGAAGGAAAACTTTCCTACTTTTTTACAAAAGAGTAGTGATGTGTTACTTTCCTAATTTTTACAAAAAGTAGGGATAGGTAACTTTTCTAATTTTCACAAAAAAGTATGGATGGGTAATTTTCTATTTTTTCCAAAAAAAAGGATGAATGGGAATTTTTCCTAATTTTCTACAAAAAAAGTAGGGATGGACAACTTTCCTACTTTTTTACAAAAAATTAGTGATGTGCAACTTTCCTAATCTTTACAAAAGTAGGGATGGGCAACTTTGCTATTTTTTTATAAAAAAGTTTTACAAAAAAATAGTTATGGACAACTTGCTAATTATTTACTAAAAGAGTAGGAATAGGCAAATTTGCTATTTTTTTACAAAACAAGGATGGCTGATTTAAAGGAGCTACCGCAAGCTGCACAGTACACACATAGACTATAATAAGGCAAAAACGAAACAGTATGCCAAATGAACCATTTAGGTGAAGGGCATAGAATGGTAGACTCATGAAAAAAAACAGATTGACGTTCCTATCCCATTCTTTAGTACTAAAACACTACTATCAGAATTGGGGTTCCTTGTCAACCTGATTCAAAGATATTCCACTGTAGCTCTTAACCATTTACTCTTTGCATGAAGCAACTGCTCTTGTGAGAGAATTATATAAACAGAGCTGAAAACTCTTGTATTGTCCAGATATCAAGATCAATCCACTATTTCTTTTTAAAGTGTCTAAAATTTAACCAATCTCATTACAGAAAACAAACAGCCAATCAGATGACATTAAATTAAGCGCACAATCAATTTGAGAAATCTCATTGGTCGGAACGGAACCCAGCAGCTGGATATCCAAAAGAGAGAAAACAAATAGTGTCCACAGTGAATATCAAGATTAAGTAAACGAGATTCAACACAAAATTTTCCTGCTCTGAACTTATTAATTTGCTTTATTATAGACATTGTTCTGTTTGTCTCATTTTCTTGTTGATACCTCATTACATAATGTTCACTAAATATTTGATTTGCCTAATAATAATCATTTGAGTTGGTCGCATCATTAAACAAGAAAACAATAATTATTTTGCTTCAAAACAAACAGAAAAACGTTCGCAATTTATTTTATTAAGACCTTGAGCGAACAAATTCTAAATAGGAACACCAATTAGAAACCATTTACAAAGTTGACTATTGGATGGACTATTTGAGAATTTTGTTGAATCACCCGGCAACTTTCCGACATCATGAGCCCTGGGCAATGTCTTTTCCAAAAAAAATGAGGATTCAAGGAGATAGGGATTAAAAGATTTAGAGTTAGTAGGGAGCAAATAGATTATCAAGTTCAATAGATGGCAACAGAGAAATGGACTAATTATACACGACGTCACAATGAAAGAAAAAATACATTTTCTCACATAAGTTGTTATGTTTTCCAAGATTAAATAAAAAAGCGTAAAAACAGAAAATAAAGAACACATGAAATTGCACTTATTTTACTGTAAGATAAGCACTGTATTCTAAAATTATCATTATTATTAACAATTTTGTCGGAAACAAAAACTGAGTCAGCACTGATGACGTAAGAATACAGCTGTACTGAGAGTGTACACATTCTACGTTGCCATGTATTGTACTAGTGTTTTTTATACCTAAAGTATGCATATCGCAAAACTCGCTCGACAGATATTACACGAGAAACACAAGACAGATATTACACGAGAAACACGAGACAGATATTACACGAGAAACACAAGACAGATATTACACGAGAAACACGAGACAGATATTACACGAGAAACACGAGACAGATATTACACGAGAAACACGAGACAAAATACTTTATTAAATATTAAAAAGAAAACGGTATTATTGGTTAAATGATGGGTTCTGTACAGAGATACACTAAACAGTCTTGATCCTCCTCCTCCTCTTCAGTCAGCTCATCGTAGACTGAATCCTCTTCCTCCTCTGGTGAACCAGCTTGTATCTCCCGGGAATCCCCGGTTCCTGGGATTTCCAGGGATGAGATTTTAAAAGCTTAAACCCGACTAAAACCCGGTCTTTGCGTCTGCTTAGACCCAAGTAAAGCTCAAGTCAAGACACGGGTTTCGGATGGCCTTGAGTTTAGTAAGAACCAACCATCTTGGGTTTTTCTCTATTTAAGGTTTGAGTCTTCAGCAGCTGATGATTGTAAATTTCGTAAAATCATTTACAGGGGAACTATAGGTCGGTAATCACATCTCTGGTCAGGCGTCATTTGAGCCGGGTTCTTTTTATAACTCTATTCATTAGGGATAAACAAAGCTAAAATAAAAACGGGATATATATTTCCTTGTTCACAAAATCATCATTATTCTTGATCTCTACACTAGAATCTATTTTTGTGGTGAATATCCATGGTTGAGCCATGGAGTTACTTTCCTACCAATTTCTCTTATTTTCCTTCTCTGTGGTGTTTTTATGACCTATTTACAAACAAGCAAGAATTCCCAGGATTTAAGAACGTTAAGGCTCATTAACGTTGAATCTAAATGAAAATCTGAAAAACATTGCAAAGTTTTAAATTAAATAACTTGGCAGTATTTTAGATTAAAATATGTCTTATACCAAGTGTCAACTCAAGGTCTCTATTATTTAAAAGAAGAATTAAAAACAGAAATGACTACGTCTTTTTAAAATAAAACACACCGTTCCATAAGGATCCATCAAATATTAATTTGCTAATACAGGGTGTCCCACAAAACATGACAGTTGGTGAATAGTTTCTAGTTGAATCTGTATTAAATTTATAACCCATTGAACGTATCTCAAAATAGATTAATGTAATCTCACTTAGTTTTATTCTTGTAGAATGTAATATATAGTATTGTTATTAAAGTAAGAAAAATATATTTGCAGTAATCCTGGACAAAAAGAATATATGGTACAATATGGTACAATATGGTACAATATGGTACAATATGGTACAATATGGTACAATATGGTACAATATGGTACAATATGGTACAATATGGTACAATATGGTACAATATGGTACAATATGGTATAATATGATATGATACAATATGGTACAATATGGTACAATATGGTACAATATGGTACAATATGGTACAATATGGTACAATATGGTACAATATGGTACAATATGGTACAATATGATACAATATGGTACAATATGGTAGCTATGTAATCATTATCAAAATCTATTTCAGCGTTACCGGCATCTGAGTGTGGAGCGGTTCAGCAGGTACAACAGGTTGAACCTGCCATACCAGCTTAACCTACTAGATAAGCCGGACCTGCCCTACCTGCCCAACCAGCCTGAATACCCGGCCCCGCCAGAGCTCCCGGACTGGCCGGGCACCATGGCTGTCAATGTGTACAGTACAAGTGTGACTACAGATAATCTTTCCAGGCATGAAATGCTAGGTCAGTTTTCTATTTAACTTAAATCAGTTTCAATATCTGGAGCATTACTGAAAAATATCGAGAAATTATATTTTGTCAAAGTCTCTTTCCTGTTATCATATATCGTAAAAAAACAAAATCAAAATAATGCAATTTTAAAAAACATATTAAATTTACCTAGTTTAAAATAATCATATCTTTGTTAACCGATTAAACATACATAGATCTATAGATCACAGTGGTTCAAAGGTACCAATCTCTCACAATAATATCTATATTAAGTTTGATGCCAATTGTTTTATGATTGGATATTAAGTTGATTAACTGTGTCTGGACTCTGGATACATTTGTGTCTGACACATTTTTGTGGTTGGGTAGATTTTGTGTCTGGTACATTTTTGTGGTTGGGTAGATTTTGTGTCTGATACATTTTTGTGGTTGAGTAGATTTTGTGTCAGATACATTGTGTGGTTGGGTAGATTTTGTGTCTGGTACATTTTTGTTGTTGGGTAGATTTTGTGTCTGATACATTTTTGTGGTTGGGTAGATTTTGTGTCTGATACATTTTGTGGTTGGGTAGATTTTGTGTCTGATACATTGTGTGGTTGGGTAGATTTTGTGTCAGATACATTGTGTGGTTGGGTAGATTTTGTGTCTGGTACATTGTGTGGTTGGGTAGATTTTGTGTCTGATACATTGTGTGGTTGGGTAGATTTTGTGTCGGATACATTGTGTGGTTGGGTAGATTTTGTGTCTGGTACATTGTGTGGTTGGGTAGATTTTGTGTCTGATACGTTGTGTGGTTGGGTAGATTTTGTGTCTCATACATTTTTGTGGTTGGGTTGATTTTGTGTCTGATACATTTTGTGCAGTTTGGATTAGTTTTAGCTTGAATATGTTTTGGCGAGCATATATAGGAAGTGTAGGAACTGCTTGACAAGTTTTCATTTTCTATTTTCTTTGTCATGGACTCACCTCTGACCCTTTAGTAAAAGTAAATTCAACCTAAAGTCTGACCGCGTCAACCTTATTGCACTGACTAGTCCTATTGAGTGTTTACTTTATTTACCCAATGTCCGGGCGATACAGTACAAACTGGGACTGGAAAGGTTGACCCGGCTCAGAAACTCAAATGTACTACGGCTACCTGTGAAATGGTATCGATGTGAATCACCTAGGCCCCGGCGGTCACTTTAAATAACAACAACAGTCCATTTCAATAATTGTAAAACCAGGTCAATGAATTTCTTATTTCTTCAAAACAATAAATAAGAAGAAACCTCAATTCTAACTTGTCATCGTAAACATTTCCGGTCTAGACTTCCGTTTCTTTACTTCCGGTTCTTAACTTCCGGTTCTAAAACTTTTTAAATACAAAGCAGTGCTTGTAGTTTTGATAAAGTTAAAAGAATTGAGTCTTTGCCACAAACTCTGATTTTCTAATCCATATATCTTTGCAACAAAAAGTCGTAGACTTTAGATATTTTGAACAATAAATTCTGTACCATTAAATAACCTAAGTTTGAAATATCAAAAGTTTAAACAATGTAAAGGTGGCAAAGATATAGGGATTAGACCAATTCTTTGTAGAAGAATATTCTTGATCAAATGGTTGTAAATAAAATAATTGATTCTTTAAAATAAAAATTAATTCAAAGATTGTTTCATTTAGATATTTTAAGATTTAGAGATCGATCATTATGAGATTGATTTAGAAAAAGGTATTGTTGATCGAATTATTTAGAGATGAATTGATTAAAACATGGATTACCTAAAAGATTAAAATGGCATTAATGGCGGCTGCCTGGATTTCTGTGTTTAAAGGGAGTGACCGGCAATATATGGTAGTTAAACTGAGAATGTATTGCGGAGAAATTTGTTAGGATTTATTTGAGACATATGAAGCGTTTGAGCAAAAGTCGACGTTCAAAATGATCCATTTGGGTGGTTTATACGTTTTGAGAATAGAGAAAAGTAAACTAATTAGTCAAATGTTTAAGAACAAATTTTCTCAAAAGAAAGGAGATGAGTTCTTGCAACAAATTCAGTTTTTTCAATCCGTGTATCTTTGCAACCTGAAGTCGTAGACATTTGTTATTTCAAACTATGAATTCTGTTAGATCTAATAATATTAGTTTGAACTATTATAGGTTTACATCATCAGGTTGCAAAGATATAGGAATTTGAAAATTTGAGCTTGTTGCAAAAACTCATTTCCTTTGCCAATAAATCAAGTTTGGAATTAATTATTTCTTTTTTACCACTATATTGAATTTCTTATTCTTTAGGAATTTGTTCGCAGATTTCTACAAATTCTTCAAATGTCGTCTTTTCAATAAAATTCCGGAAAATCTTCAGATAATGTTTGTGCACAATAAGAGGTTACAGAAACTAATTACTGAATAAGTACTTATTTTCTCAACCTGTTCCTAAACAACTAGTGAGTTTACTGTAGAATTTTTGTTAATTTTTTTAAAAAATTTAAAAAGGTCGATTTTTAAAACTTATGGATAATGTTGAAAGTTTACAATACTACAATCTCAGTTCAAGTACCATACATTGCCGGTAACTCCGTTTAAGAATGACTAGGTTTATTACATTGTAAGAAGTAAGGACTTTAAAACACATTTCTTATCAATATTCAATAGCTCTTCAGAAAAGGGAATTTGAAAATGTGAAAGAGCTCAAAGTTTATTAAAACAGGGTAAAACAGTTCCAAGCATTGATTTGGCCCAAACCTGACACTGAGTGTTAGGTTTAAAACATAATTACGGTTTGGAACTTTCATCCCCTGTATTATAGCAGATCATTTTTTTTGTAATTTTTTTTATTTGATTTTGTTTTTCAGCATGGGTGAATGATTGCCTAGAAACTGATTGTCTAAGAATAGAGGAGTTATGTACAGGAGCATTGTACTGCCAGTTCATGGACATGCTCTTTCCAGGTACATAGATATAGTTATGTACAGGAGCATTGTACTCCCAGTTCATGGATATGCTCTTTCCAGGTACATATATATAGTTATGTACAGGAGCATTGTACTGCCAGTTCATGGATATGGTCTTTCCAGGTACATAGATATATTTATGAACAGGAGCATTGCACTGCCAGTTCATGGATATGCTCTTTCCAGGTACATAGATATAGTTATGTACAGGAGCATTGTACTGCCAATTCAAGAATAGGCTCTTTCAAGGTACATAGAAATAGTTATGTACAGGAGCATTGTACTGCCAGTTCAAGAATAGGCTCTTTCCAGGTACATATATATAGTTATGTACAGGAGCAATGTACGGCCAATTCATGGATATACTCTTTCCAGGTACATATATATAGTTATGTACAGAAGCATTGTACTGCCAATTCATGGATATACTCTTTCCAGGTGCATAGATATAGTTATGTACAGGAGCATTGTACTGCCAGTTCATGGATATACTCTTTCCAGGTACATAGATATAGTCAGGTACAGGAGCAATGTACTCCCAGTTCATGGATATACTCTTTCCAGGTACATATATATAGTTATGTACAGGAGCATTGTACTGCCAGTTCATGGATATGCTCTTTCCAGGTACATAGATATAGTTATGTACAAGAGCATTGTACTATCCGTTCATGGATATGCTCTTTCCAGGTACATAGATATAGTTATGTACAGGGGCATTGTACTGCCAGTTCATGGATATGCTCTTTCCAGGTACATAGATATAGTTTTGTACAGGAGCATTTAAACTGTTAAACTTAAACCACTGCATTAAAGATAGTGCTTGCGAAAAATTAAAGGAGCTTTCATTTTTCGCCAACACTCCCTTTAAATTTAAGAAAAATATTCTTGAAACAATGGCTACTGACTACTGTTTAGGATCAATCTTGTTGAAGAAAGTGAAGTTCAGTACAAAATTGGAACATGAATATATACAAAACTTTAAATTACTTCAAGCAGTCTTTAACAAACTAAACGTAGAAAAGGTATTTTTTCCTTTTTTTGCAATTTATTTGTTTTCATTGGATAGTTTCTTTTGTTTTTTAATCTTATCTCAAAATAATTTTGATACTTTTTGTATGTTTACCTTTTTCTGGGTTCCTTTAATATTTTTTCAAATTAAAATTAGGGTATGTCCAAAAACAAAAACTCCTAGACTTCAAAACGCTAAAATTCTAAACAACAATATTCTAAACGTGACTTTCAACCCGTCTTATTTTTAAATCCTAATTAAATGGTAAAAACATAAAAACCATCTATACAACAACTATAGTTGGATTTACGGGAATTTACACTTCAAATATTCAAGAAACTAACTAGGTAAAAATACGCCAACATAATACGTCAGTGGTTGAGGGGAGTTTTAATCAGAGGAGGAATTACGAAAATGAAGATATGGAAAGGTTTTTTATTATAGAACCTTAAACTAAAAGTGCACACAGTGGATGACGAGATCAAGCTATCGGATATAATGATTTTCTAGCACCAAAGTTCCATTCTTAGGCCAAACAGTGTATGAGTATTTTTAAACTTGAAAGGTGTTTGAAGACATTTTAATCCATGTCTGTGTTTTTTTCGAAATATTAAATTTACTAACTCGGGATATTCTTTGTAAACCAGCTATATATACTCTCTGATTCCGTATTTAATGAATTTGAGCTAGATCACTGATCTACGTCCTATATACTGGTTCAAATTTAAATCACCGATTCCAAGTGAAAGGTTCATTAGGATTTGAATCGGTAATTCAAAATTTGAACCAATGCTGCTGCAGGTAGTTTAGCGACCTCTCACACTATTCATAAAATTTGGTCTCTGGTTCAGATAATCCCAGTTGACCGGTTGGTTAAAGGACGGTTCCAGGATAATTTTGAGTTCCTTCAATGGTTTAAGAAGTTCTTCGATGCTAACTATGATGGAAGACATTATGAAGCGTATGCACAACGTGGGGGCATTCTTGTGGGTAAGTGTTTAATCATCATTTTGTCATTGCTGTTAGAAGCAAGAAATGTGCAAGTCACTTTTAAGGAGAGATCACAAATAAAAATAAACAGTTTTCAAAGCAAAAACATGTAAGTACCTTATTAAATTTTTTATCAGACAAAGCTTTCCGGGTACCGTTGTGAATCAAAGATGTGAATAGTTGTTCACTTGAAATGTCGGTATCAGTCCCTTTAGTCAAAAAATCTAAAATATATATTTATTTTTGCTAATTTTTTATTTTAAAATTTTTTTTGAAAAAAAAATATTCCAGGACCCAATTTTTAGTAGCTCCGCATCATTTAGGAAGTCATTCCGAATTTCGGCTAATAAAGACAGTGTGTTCCAGCCTAAAAATTACTATATTTTCAGATATTTTGGTCGAAATTAATAGCTTTTTCTTGTGGAAAACCTTTTATCTGTTTATTTTTTATTTTTAGATTTTACAACAAAAATAATGCGATAAGACATAAAATTTTGAATTATTGATACTATTCAAATTAATTATGATAGAAATATATCGATAAAAGTGATTTTTAGGTGGAGAGGATCGGAAAGGAGATGGTTGGATAAATAAACCATTAAGATCTAGTTCAAGGTCTGCTTCCAGTAGTCATAGTAGTCTTAGAGGCACTCCTTTACATGGTGAGTAGTCATAGTAGTCTTAGAGGCACTCCTTTACATGGTGAGTAGTCATAGTAGTCTTAGAGGCACTCCTTTATATGATGAGTAGTCATAGTAGTCTTAGAGACACTCCTTTACATGGTGAGTAGTCATAGTAGTCTTAGAGGCACTCCTTTACATGGTGAGTAGTCATAGTAGTCTTAGAGGCACTCCTTTACATGGTGAGTAGTCAAAGTAGTCTTAGAGGCACTCATTTACATGGTGAGTAGTCATAGTAGTCTTAGAGGCACTCCTTTACATGGTGAGTAGTCATAGTAGTCTTAGAAGCACTCCTTTACATGGTGAGTAGTGATGGTACTTAGAGGCACTCCTTTACATGGTGAGTAGTCATAGTAGTCTTAGAAGCACTCCTTTACATGGTGAGTAGTGATGGTAGTCTTAGAGAAAGTTAATCCTAAACATGGTGAGTAGTCATAGTAGTCTTAGAGGCACTCCTTTACATGGTGAGTAGTGATGGTAGTCTTAAAGAAAGCTAATCCTAAACATGGTGAGTAGTCAAATTAGTCTTAGTGGCACTCTTTTACAAGGTAAGTGGTCTTACAGGCGCCCTTGAACATGGTAAGTAGTCATTAGTCAAAGTAGACCATATCCAATACAAGTTGTATGGACCCTTAATAACACTTCGAATAAAACCTAAGATGTACAATTTTATACAAATTCTGATTAACGTTTTGAAGGAACGAAATTACCTCGCTTTATAAACCTCTGCTGCAACTTAATTATCTGCAGCAATTCAACAATTTAAACTTCAAGTTTGGCACGGAAAATCATACTTTTTTACATTGCTTAGTACAGATATATATATACACTGGAGCAGCTGTTCTGAAACATATTTAATTTAGTTACAACAACTAGATTACAGGATTTATTTTAGTATACATTAACAAAAACGACCGAAAAGTCTTGATTGATTGATTGATCAGGTGTGAAGACGACGCGGCACATGATGCAGAGAGCATATAGTGATGCGGGGCCTAATCTACATATCAGACATTTAACACAGCAGGTTATTCAATCTTTCAAATTCAAAAGTAACGTCACGTGACCCTCCGTTTGAAGATTTACAGTTTACGTATGTTTAATTCACAACAGTACGCTTTAAGCTTTTGAGAAAGATATCGCATTTTCATTCTCTTGAAAAGTGCATTTTCTTCTTTGTCTCTGCCGCATTCATACGCTGCCTTACGCACATAGTTTTAGATCCCCCACACACCGAAATATTTAATTTTCATCTAAAGAAAATAGGTTTTTTAATCATCCTTAAAAATACTAAGGCTTACGTGGTACTGTTGTAAATCAGACATACCATTCCAGAATTTACGTATACAGTCCTTTTAAGTTATTTATTGGTGTAACCATTTGACATGTGCTATAAATTCTAAATTTTTGTACGTATAAAACGATGTATATATTTATCCTCAAGATAAAGTCAGCTTATCGGAAAACGGTAAACGGATGCGCCCTTAACATTTTATTTCTATTTCTGGTTTTTATCCTCAATAAATATCAAATTGACGGAGGTTATGAAAACAAATTTTAAGAAAGGAGTTAACTTATTTTTTCTAATCCCTTTACGTGTAAACCTTTGGCATTTTACACAAATTTTTTTACCTAAAATAATTAATATTTTGAAATATTTAAGGTCTATAACATTAGGTTGCAAAGATAAAGGGATATAGAAGATCAGTGTTTGTGGCAATGACATATATTCCTTTATTATTATTAATTTCTGTTTGAAATGGTTAATCATTTTTAATGAAGTTTAGTGGTTAGAATTTGAGCGGTTGTAAATTGTAATACAGTGAATCCCAGATATATGAATACATAGCAAGAGTTTTTTTATAATGTCGTATTTCATATTTAAGATCAGATTCATATTTAAAGGCCATTAATTTACATTGAATCAAAAATAAAAAGTAGTTTCTTTAGAATTATCAAAAAACTTATGCCGGTATATGTATTCATAAATCTGGGATTCACTGTAGAATGAATCATAATTAAATAAATAATTTATTGGTATCATCTCAATGAGATATGCCTAGGGGGGGCTGGATCTTAGCTACCTGTCCGTGTATATCAGCCTTAGTGTACACTTAGGACAGTTTACTGATAAAGGATAATAAGAGATTATGACCCCTCTCGGCGAAAACAAATAGAAAGCATTAAAGGACTTAATTTCCGAAAACTTTTTTTTTGAGAACATTTTTGGAGGTTAATTAATTAAATATTTCTTTTAATTTAAAAATACAGAATTTTAATCATATTTAAATTATAATATTGCATGTATGATATAAGTATATATATTACAATTATATGACTCAAATACAAGGGATCTAATTAGGAAAATCCTGTAATTAATGGGATTAAAGAGAATATAAGCTTAATTTCAAGTGACCTTCCATTAAAAGAGGGATATTCCCAATTTACTAGGGTACCCTTTGAACCTTGTAAATCAAATGTATCAAATTTCTCAAAAAGTTTTATTTGATTAACTGAATAATTTGATTAATTCAAATTCTTAAAGGGCCTGCAAGCGTAATTTCATTTGACCTCCCATACAAAGATGACATACGCAATGACACCTTTTAATTCATTATCTGATCAAATATGTTGAAGATAATGTCGTTTGTCTATAGGTTTAATAGTATTAAGATTCAGATGATTCCTGTAAAATTTCCCTGGAGTAGAAATGCGAAAGTCACTTTTTTAAAGAACCCACCATTGAAATTATTTAATTTTCAAAATTATAAGCATTAATTATATTTATCTAATTCATACTTGATCAGAGAAAGCTTTCAGGGAACCGTTGTGATTCAAAAGCTTTGCATGAAGGGTCACTTAGATTACAATTACAATCCTTTAAAGAATATTTTACATATTCTCTTTGTTTAGATTTTAGATTTGAGATTAACTGTTGAAGGATTGGAGAGAGAAAGAGATTTTTATTTTGGAAAGCTTCGAGATATTGAGGTATTTTTACTTGGAGATATTTAGGTATTTTATACCTCGAGATATTAAGGTACTTTATACCTTGAGATATTAAGTATTTTATACCTCGAGATATTGAGGTATTTTATACCTCGAGATATTGAGGTATTTTATATTTCTAGATTTTGAACTTTTTTATACTTCGAGATATTGAAGTATTTTATACTTCGAGATATTGAAGTATTTTATACNACCAGCTAGGGCTAAGTAATACAGACTTTACAATAATATTTACAATAATTTCAAACTTTTATTTCTGCATCTTCTGAAGAAATTGCAAGTAGAAACCAAAAGTGGACATTTTAAAAATCTGTTATAGATTAAAAAGGGCATCTTTGGTATAATAAATTAATGGCTTAAATATTCTAAATTCAGCCAATCAATTGACCTACAATACTTAAAAAATATCTATAGAATTCTGTAAAATTTAAAGTTACAGCAAATATATATAGAAACATACACTTTGTAAATCCTTTATTAACTACAACTTTTATCTTTGTTTTTGAAAAAAAGATAATTTAAAAAGACACCTTTTTATGTTATGAAATGTCGTTTTGTAGCAAAGTTCAATTTGTCTTGAAAAACAACTATAGAACAAATTAGGTAAAAAAAGTCCAGCCTGTAAATTCATTATGCTTATACTGCTCGAATATTTATAATACTGACATGAACCCCAATCCCGTCAAACATGTCATACTAAAAAATCATCAAATGCATTTTTCTTTTTTTGCAATTTTTTGAAAAACTAAAATGCAATTTTGTTTCTTGGAGAATCGACAGGTTGAGAAACTTTAAAAACTATTTTAATTTTAAGAATAAACTATCGGGAATCTATTAAGTATTGGTTTATGGATGAACACATTTGGAACCTTTTATAAACAAAACTAAAACTTTAGAGTTGGGAACTTTTGTGTTAGATATTCAAAACCCGATCCTTTGATCCCAATATCTACAGCGGGCACTTTTATTTATAGGATTAATGCTTAATCTCACCATTTTAGTAATCCCTGTAGGGTTCAATTACACTACGGTTATCCAAAAAAATAAATTAAATTAATCTGCAGATTATAAAAAAGATTAAATTAATCTGCAGATTAAGAAAAATTTCGAAATAAAGCATTGATCTCGATATCCACAATGCAAAAGTTCCCAGCTCAGGACAATCACTTGGCTTTGGCTCTAACTGCAATGGATAACTTTACTTTAATCCAAACTTTCATCTGTTGCAGTGATCACTGCAGAAAACAGGAAAATTTAAGTCGTCTCCATCATTCTTTCAATAAATTTTGCTAAAGATGTTGTAATACAGTGATAACCAGTAAACAATGGAATAGGAAGACGACATTGTAGCAATGAACAAGTGTATTTGATGTTGTTTTAAAGCAAATTGTTTTACTAGACACTTATTAAATCACTACTTTAGTGAAATGGGTCTTTTTAATCGGCACAATTGTTGTGTCTCATGCTCATTAGACCTTTTAAAGAGTTATAACTTGAGTCTAATAGCCATCTTCCTATTCCAGAGTTTTCTGGTTATCACTGTAACAATTGTTGAAACTGACATGTTTAAGAAGACAATATTAGTTTTAAATGCAAAACATTGTGCGGCCGGGGAGGTTATAGTTTTATTTTCTGTTTACTATTCATAATTCAATCAATCAGTTCAATCATTGTTAATATGTTTAGGTGGTGGTTCTTGATAAAGGGAATGGTTCCTCTTTTTGTCAGGAGATATTGGATACATTATACTCCACAGAGGTATTCAGTGGGAGTTACGACCCATAAATCTGGAATAGAAAGACGACATTCAAGCATTCTTATATTTTTCTGTTAAATGGTTCTGAGTAAAGTACACTGTACAATTGCTGTTTTGTGTTCATTATATCTTGAATCGTCTTACAATTCCACAATGTTATGAGTCCCACATACATTGAATACAAAGGTACACAGTTTTAACCAGAAAACTACGAAATAGGAAGACGACTTTATAGCAATGTATTAGATGTAGTTATAAAGCAAAAAATTTTACTAGACACTTCTTTTATCAGAAATCAAGTGAAATGGGTCTGTTTACACAGCACAATTTTTGTTTCCCGTGCTCATAATTCTAAAGTCATATTTTGAGTTTAAAAGTCGTCTTCATATTTCAGAGGTTTTTTGTAGATATCACTGTATATATCACTTACCCAACAAAAAGTTAAATGTAGAGAGGACATTTCCATGGAAGATATTTCCTAAAAAGCTCAAGAAATATTCAGTGTTTATCTATAGCATTTAACTTATTATTAAAAATACTTCAATTCAAATGTAAGTTTGAAACTTTTATGATAAAAAGTTACAGAATATTTGCTATTTTGATTTTAATATTTAAAGTGTTACCAAAAGCAAAGAAATATTTTTTAAAGTTTTAAACAAAATGCACAAAAAAAAATACTATTTTCAATAGAAACATATTTTCAATACTAGTATCTGTCTCCCCACCATAAACAGCGAACATTCTTTTATATTTAATTTTTTAGGAGGGCTTTGCGGTTCCAGATGATATAGAAAATGTTGACGAGAACACATTTTAAACTTAATTAATATCTACATTTTACAAGGATCAATTAATGGGACTGTAGGCATAGTTTCAAGTGTCGTAACGTATCAAAATTACGCGCACAGTCCCTTTAAATACAGAAAATTTTGCTCCATTATAGTATGTATGAATTCACTATTACGGAGTTGTTGTTTAAAGGGACTGTCAGCGTAATTTCAAGTGACTCTCCATATAATGATGACAATGCCCGAAATACAACCAAAGAGAATAGAATATATATTAGAGAGGAATTTACTAGAAAAAGTGTTAAACGGCCATTTTGTTGTACTGTTTCCATACTGCAGGTGTATCTCACATTTGTGCTATATAACCTTTTGGGCCCTGAAACATCATTTTCTAGAAAATCTAAAATTAATATTAAAAGAAAACTAAATTATGAAATAGGCTGGTTTCATAATTGACCAATGATCATTTTACATGGACTCTATGCCTTTCACTTTACAAACGATGATTTTCCGTTATAACTATAAATCAAGTGATGTTTTTTATTCACCTAATTCATTTTATAAAGTTTATTTAACAGCTTTAAAAAATTTGAATTTGAAATGGATAATCTAGGGAACATACGGTATTGATGTACTCTACTGCATATAATTTGTGAACATTTAAATGATTTTACCACTTTGAACTCCCTGTCTGGCTGAAAGAGATTGACAAAATTCATACTGAGGGATTGTCTAAATTCCACTCTAATATATATTCTATTCTCAATTTGTTTACAACAGTACCAATACAATCTTTATCTTACAGTTCCTTTTAGTTTCAACTATACCTTGATACAGAGAGAACCAGAAAACTTTGGAAAAGGAAGTCGACTTTCAGGCTCAAGTTATGACTTTAAATAGTCCAATTTACATGAGATGCACAGACATTGTGCAGTGTAAACAGACCAATATAACCTTATGTTAAAATAACTTACCAGTAGGACTATTTGCTTTGTAACAACCTCGAACACACTTCAGTTTCGCTTTAATGCCGTCTTTATATTCTACAGTTTTCTGGCAATCACTGTGTGTTTAAATATGATATCTTAGTTTGAAAACTTACTGCAGGTCAGTCAATTAAGTTTATGTTCAATATACAAGCAAAATACACTTTCAATATTGCCTATTACGGAGAAATTTATTAAGTTCAAATATTGTTTGATACCTCTGTATTATAGTTTAAATATGTATATCAAGTTAATACAGTAAGACCAGAAACAATGGAACATGAAGAAGACCACGCGACATTATAGCAATTATGTATTTGAATAGTTTTACTAGATACTTATTAAATCACTAATTTAGTGAATGTGTCTGTGTTAAATCCAAAACTGCTATGTCTAAATTGGACTTTTTAAGCTTCTTCCTTGATTTTAAAAGTCGTCTTCCTTTTTCAGAATTTTCTGGTAATTACTGTATGCATTGTTTATTGTACTGTTAAGAAAGTTACACTAAAAACACCCTTATCTTTGTTTACAAAACAAATGTTCTGCAGTTGTTTGGAGAAAAATAACAAAAATCGACCTATTACAACTTTACAAGCAGAACTCTGATTGTTTACCTTTCTTCCATAAACTACAGTACACTTTGCATGTAAACAAAATATTTGTGGATTTTTGTGTATCTTTTTTAAAAACCACTCCGTTAGAGTATTATTATTGTTTGTAATCAAAAACTTGCTCGATTAATATCATAGCTTCCGATAGAAACATTAAAAAACAAATATTACAAGAAGAACAGGCATGGAATTTTGCAATAACTAAATAAAAAATAGGTTTTTTTAACCTTAAGTTTCTATTTTTCATACGTGGGGCCGTTAGTGGCAAGTTTTAAGGGTTTCAATCGACAGCAAATTTTCCTTTACGGTTTTGTGCGCTAATTGTTCATTCATCATACAATCCATATGTAACAATTTTGCGGAAAATCCGCGGAAATTCCCAGGAATCTTTCACAGGAAAATCCAGTAAAAATGTCAACAGCAATTCCAAGGAATTTCTCGTAACCCTATCCAAGGAGTTTCTTGTAACCAATTCCAGGGAGTTTCTTGATACAAAATTCTGCAGAAAACAGGAAAAAAATGTCGACAAAATTTGTGGAAATTCTTGGGAATTTTCCAGAGAAAATTTCTTTAGAACCAATTCCTGGGAACAATTCCCAAAATTTTCTCAAGAGTTTCCCAGGAAAAATACGAATTTTTTTTCTTTTCAAAAATCATTTTTTTAAATTCGACTTTTTTCACGTGCATCTCCGGGCACTTACTTTCTAATATATATAGATATATATATATATAGATAAAAAATCCCTTTCAATAGATTCTGCATGTTTTTAAAGTATAATACTCTTTTATTAAGTAATAAAAATGTATTTAAATTCAGTATGTAGCATACATTTATATAAGGGGGATATAGAAATAAAAAGTTAGTCTTTTTAACTGTTTGAGAGATTGAAAAAGGTTTTTTTTCTGTTTCAATTTTCATTAAAACTTTTTTGTAAGATGTTATTTAAATTTTATGTTTAAAGTTTTGAATTTTATAAATTAATCCAATAATTCATTAAATAATCCATATTTAATCCACGAAAATTTTAATTTTCAAGATCAAAAAAAAATTCTGACGCATTTTGTTCAGTTACTGATAAAATATACATAAATTGGATTGAAAAACCACCCAAATGTATTTTTAGTATTTTTGAGGTATTTGGTCTGTTTCCACCTGTCAAATCCTGTCATGTTAGGTGAGAAGCTCTGCAAAATATGCCTGATCTATAATATAAGTATTATATACATATTATATATATATATTATATATATACATATATTATATATATATTATAGATTATAGATAAAAGGTCTGAGATTGAAAACATTGATAAATTTATTATTATTATAGATTAAAAACACTAAGAAAATTATTTTCAAATAAAGCACTCTGATGTTTTTAAAAATGCTGAAAAGGTGTCTTTAAAATGTGACAAATTTAACTTTTTGCCTTTTTAGAGTAGTTTACCGTTAACAAAATTATCAAATCTGATATTTACGTGAATTATATCATTATATGTAGATATTTAAATTTTTAATTTATTATTTTTAAGCGATTATGTCAATATGATGAAGACGACTTTTTTGTTTTGATATTTAACAATCTTTTTTAATGTCAAAGAAACGCTTCTATGTTTATATGTTTATAACACAAGCTGTTTAACAGGTTGAAATAAATCAAATTTAAATCGAAAGTCTTGTTCATTGATATAATCGCTCACCCCTGTAGAGAGTTTAATCTCCTAAATGAGAAAAGACGAGGTTTAACGAAGTCAAACCATTTATAAGTTCTAACTTTCTGGGGTCTGATCTAAAATATATTTATATATTAATCTATCTTGTTTTTCTTCTTTATTCATTTTTTAATTTATTTATTGCGGACTTAACCCTGATTGGAGAAAAGATGGCTTTAACAGATTCAAACTATTTAGTATTGTTCTAACTTTCTGATCTAAAATCTTCACAAAACTTCTGACTTCTGAGCTGGAAACTTTTGAACGGGATATCCTTAATCCCGATCGGTTTATTAATCTGGAGATTAGCCCTATCTCTGCTGGGGTACTTGAAAACCAGGATATGCTGGGGGGGGGGGGGTCAATTTGATCCCCCCCTCTAAATCCCATGTTTGATGTCCAAATATCACAAATGATACATCATTGTAAAGCTTTTGTGCTCTACTTTTAGAATCTGCAAAAAATTTTGCAAATTTGCAAAAATTGAATTTTTTATCGCAAAATCCAGATATATAGTAAAAATGTTTGCAAAAAAAAAATTGTCCAAAAAATGAAAAATTATACATTTTTGAAAAGCCCTTGACAATGCCATTTTAAATATGCAAAAAATTTTGCTAAATTTTAAATAACCTGTTTATAATCAAGAAAAACTAAAAATGTGAAAATTTCCTTTGACAGGTTGTTTGCAAAAAATTTGCAATTTTTTCGCAAAACTTGTGCAATTCGTTTCCTTATGTCAAAGGCTTTCCAAAAAGCTAAATTTTATCAAAATCTGACAAGTGGAAGTGGGTCAAAACAAAGGTTTAGTTTGTTACAGGAAAAAGCAGTCATTCATGTAGTGTGCCTGAGGACTCTGGTAGTTAGTATTAAAGCCCGGTTTTAGGCCTAAAGGGAGGGCTTTGGGTATGTAGGAAAAGTCAGAAAATTTCAACAGCCTCAGACCAATACTTTTTGAGTTACGTAAAAAAAACTACAGGGGGGGTCAAATTGACCCCCCCCCCCCCCCCAGCAGGAATATGACAAGAGGAGAACAAGCATTATTTAATTTCGAGATTAATAACAAGAGGATATCAAGTATTAATTCCGATATATACCATTCAAAAGTTCCCAGCTCTGGTTATTTCTCATATTAAATAAAATCACTGAATTGGAAAATGTGTTTTTATCTAGTTTTGTTTTTCTCTCTTCTTGTCATATTTATAAATCTAAAATATATCTATTTATCTATCTATTTGTATCTTTTTATCAATCTATTTATATCTATTTGATAAATCTATCTATATCTATTTATCTATCTATCTATCTAAATCTATTTCACAGACTGCTCATACACTCTACCTGGAGAAGAAGGATCTTGAGAAGAAGTATCTGCAGAAGATGAATCAACAGAAGAAGGATCTGCAGAAGATGGATCATCAGAAGAAGGATCTGCAGAAGAAGAATCATCAGAAGAAGGATCTGCAGAAGATGGATCGTCAGAAGGAGGATCTGCAGAAGAAAGATCATCAGAAGAAGGATCTGCAGAAGAACCTTCAGATGAAGGTTCATAAGAAGAAGGATCAACAGAAGATGGATCATCAGAAGAAAGTCCTGGCACGCCATGCTACGGTTCCATGCAATGATTTTTGACTGACGTCTAACGGCCACTTGTTGCATTCAGGGGTTAAGTTTTACAACTTTTAAAGAAATACTCCAATTTAGAACATAAAACATAACGTTTATGAATATTGTCTATTTTTAAAGATATTGCATTTCCTATTCAAAGGATCATTAAATATCCCTGAATACAGATATCTCCTGATTGGTCGTGTACAATAGAACATGCTGAGGAAAACATCGCATATTATTGGTGTTATCGATCTCCGTAACTCTCTTATCTCTGATCTATTTATCATTCTATCTATATCTATTTATCTATCTATCTATATCTATTTATCTATCTATCT